ATTTACGATCGACGTGCTTCATGGCAATAGATCAGAGTCGGAAAACATAGTGAGAATTTCATTGTCAATCTTAACAGGCCAACGACAGACATCCATAAAATCGGTCAATGTGCTTATCATCATGCCAAGCGTGATCGCACTTCCAATTCTTCAACTTCGCACTCATATTCTGCATCAGCATTACAAACATTTCCAACTGCATCCATGCCTACAGTATCACTTAATTTTTCCCAGAGATCAACGTTTGTAGTACCAAGTTCATCTTCCGTCTCAGTGTGATTAGCATCCTCCATTTTATCACTTCAGGTGATGATGTAATTTCGATGAACTTACACTTGACATTGAACAATCATCTGTACTAAAAATGCCGCCCCCCATTCACATGCCGCCCAGGGCGGACCACTACCTCGTCCCCTATGCTACGCCTCTACGCTCACATTTGTGTATCAGATCCAAAAGGGCCCCAACCACCCTTGCGGATCCTTAGTGAATCTCAGTCACAACACCTGAGAGGCCAACGGTTTAGCCACACGCACGGTTAGGAACATCGTGTAGCCGGTTGGAATGCCATCGAAACGTTTTCTCCATTCGAGTATCCCATACGTGATGACTTCAGCATTCAGGCATCGGCACTCCTTCCTTAGTTTAGTTAGAAACTCGACTTGATGACGGTTTACGCCACCTGCATTACATGATTTTATCCAATTAACTTGGACATGAGACGAAGAAAACAAACTGTGTGTTTACTTAAAACGCGATACGCCCCCCACTTCGCGTTAATTTTTCTTCAGATATTCATTTTTGGACTCACTCTGCCTACGGAAAGTGTTACGTGTTTGCTGTTTTATCCGTGATAAATCCATCGTTATATGATGACGGTGAGTGGGAAATAGTTACATCGAGGTGGAGAAGAGAGATTATTGATTTTATTCCCAAAAGCAAATTATACTGAACAAACAACGTAAAGCCTTTTATGAGTCCAAAGTTACGGTGGGACGCGTAGCAAACTGCGATGTCATCGTAAGAGAGTGAGCTAGTTATGGTCAATATCGAGCACACACAGAGACCTGTTTTATAAAGCGACCGCTATATTGTAACAACTGATGGGAAGGTTGGGGTCGGTGTTATCTCTCTACAATGTTCGATGCAGTGGCTTTTGACACCAATACTTGGATTAATGTGCTACCACTATAATCCACCAAACCGCCAAATTTTCTGCACAGATGAGACAGTTTGACAAGCAGTGAAACATTTGCCGTCACATAGTCTAGATCGGCAAACTTATCGATAAATCGAGCAAGGAGTGTGTTGTTAGACTATTCAAAGGCGTTTGATATTAAGAATGTGCAAAATTTGTTCTATAAGTTTTATAGCTAGTACATTGAGGACTCAATCAGCGGCACTTGGAAGTGAACCCGACGATCTGTGTCTGAAGTAGATCAAGTCAATTGTAGGGCACATCAAGCTCGGTCTTAAGGCCTTATCAGTTTACGCAATCCATAAACGACCTGGCGATATTCTTCGTGCTATGTCTGCTTTTCCTTGAGGGTATCAAGGCATGGTGGACTGATGGAGGACCGCACAATTGTGCGTAATCCAGTGAAATCATGATGACAATCATAACTGTTTTGTTATATAATACGCTGCCATTCAGCGTTAAGCCACCACCGGGCCCACGTTTACTCGGTCGGACAATGCAAATTATGACGTTGCGCGTTCAAACAGCTCAGCTTCGTGTGTATGTCAGTTTTAAAAAGCAGTAGCTAACTCGTCTGTTGCTTAAGGAAAACGTTCAGAAGGTGAAACACATATATCTACCTCCTGAAGACCAGTGCTTACGTGCGCTATCACACCGCATACACGAAATAAACGTAGTATTACATACAGAATTGTAACTTTGTTCACCGTGGAACGTAGCATTCCAAGAATAAAAACTGGGCGGCTAGTAAAACCTGTTATTAGTAAAGTACGGCATCATTTATTCTCTACATAAGTGGGGGGAGAGGAGTTACTCGGCCACCTTACATTTTCGTGTGGACGCTTCAGTTCACCTATGTTTGTCTGGTCAGCGCACACGCTTCGTCCCATCGCGGTCGTTTCAGCCAATGCGCTTCCCCGTTATTCGTCACAAAGCTGTGCTTTTTCCACTCTAGCCTGACCCAATCCTAATTTCTCTCTATGCTTCATACACGAATGATCACTTATTGTCGCAGCGACTGATTGGTCACTTGTCTGCTTACATCGTTCCAACGACCACTTATTACTGCACAACGCATGCGCTAAAACGTCAAGGGCTACACAGACGCATAACACTCGCGATTACAACTCGGCCTTAAGGTCGCTTACTTCTACAATCTTACGTCTATTGGAGATACTTGACTAAAATTTATCACGCTTTCATTTGCTTATAATCAATAGAATATGTTCGACGATCAACGATAAATGCAAACAAGCTCTTGATTGTAACCTATCTCCAATTCATAGTTTATCTGCACTTTTGCTGTAGCCTATGCGTGCAGTTTGTTTATTTCTGAGCCTTTTAAGCAAGTGTGTAGTCGCAAACGGTGAAGAAGTCTGAGCGTTATTAACTAGCATATAACCATAAGTGATGAGATTTGTGTAGAGAAGCTACTGGACCATTCGCACTCTTCCCCCACCGGCGATCGCCGTGAACTTGTAGTTTGGGATAAGCACTAAGCGCAGCTCCATCTCTATAGCCTATTCAAGACCCAGTACCAACAGCTAGGAGTAATGCAGATGTAGCCAATCTCTTAAACGATCAAGCAAGCACGAGATAGTCACATAAATATATACACTAACATTGCCATCAAAACAAGCATCTTAAACAGTGAAAACACTGGAGGATATGCGAGCACAGCTGGGGTAGCGGTAAAGCAGAATGGATCATACCTGAGCTAGTTGAAGTGAAAGGCATACATGGCTCATCGACCAACACCAAAAAGTACAAACAGAAGATGTGACAGTTTGTCAACATCAGAGTGAGATTACAAAGGCAATTCAAACTCACTGTTTTGGCGCATCTTGTTGGTTCTGGTCATTCCACCAGTTAACCGGTAAATACTAAGGTTGTCTCACTATGCGCAACAGTGGATGGATACACGACCCATGTCTCCCAAAAATACTACGACTGGAGACCCAAGAGAAAGGCCGGGCATCATGGTAGCAAAATGAGAGTTATAGCTTATGTCAGTATCGCTAGCTGTACTTTGATCGGCCTTCTCCAGTTTAATCGGGAAACCAAGCTAGAACTTCGTCCACTCCATACACTGGGAAATAAACGGGTACAACCGGTGGTTGAGGGAAATTGTCGTCAGAAGACCCTACAGTTCCATCCACGTGGTACGAAACCAATGTCGTGGAGGTAACAGTCTAGATATCTCTACACTTCGCTTGGATTCGTTGTGATTAGTGTCGTTTTCGTAGGTCATACGCGAGGTAATTTAATACCAAATGATTGTTCCTGCATCAACCCTACTTTTGAATTTGTAACTGAGCTCCTGCTAAAAGACGAAGTTCAGCCTATATAGAAACTACTGGGTGTGTGCAACAGATTACCGGACCAAACAACTACATCCAGTGCACTTTCAAGGAACATTAAGAAACAACAGGGATGTGTGCCCATGCTTCTAAGTCAATAGCATATTGGATGGCGTCATAAGGCGATGATTACCAGTGTAGTTGTAGTGCTTATCACCTCACGGAACAGTCAATTTCAAATATCGAAAGCAGGTAATAAAAGTTCGGGTTGGGCTATATCGCAGTTAGGTTCCTATTCGTAATGGTCGGCTGTCCTCCCCCATGGCTCAGTGGCATAAGCTACTGCCTAATTGGCGTTAGCCTCCAGCGGTCATAGGTTTGATCCCCAGTAGGGGACCGATGGAGGCGTACCACTGACGAGCCCCAATAGGGCGAAACGCACGTCTGGTTCTTTTCCGGATGGGTAGCTTGCCTATGCGGCTTGGAATCTAATTGTGATGAACCAAATCGAATCATACCCAACTCCGTCTACTCATTAGTAATCAAAATCTACGCCCTACCAGTATTTAAAGTTGCTGTGTGGACTCAAGGGACTGGAAACGGAAGATGTGACCGTGACGGCCAACCACTGTCCCATGCACGGGCAATAACCTGCACAACAATGGAGGATGGGTCAGGCTATATCGCAGTTAGGCTTCAATTCGCAATCGTCGGCTGTCTTCCCCCATGGCTCAGTGACATAAGGTACTGCCTAGTTGGCGTTAGCCTCTAGCGGTCATGGGTTTGATCCCCAGTAGGGGACCGATGGATGCGTATCACTGACGAGCCCCAATAGGGCGAAACGCACGTCTGGTGCTTTTCCGGATTGGTAGCTTACCTATGCGGCTTGAAATCTAATTGCAATGAACCAAATCGAATAAAAATTCAGCCTGCGGTGGCAAATGAGTTTCACTCGGTGAGTAAACTCACGTGGGCTATGTTGCGTCGAGTAAGCACTACTGAAATTCCTAAGTGTTCGGCCAATAGGGTTATTCCTTTCCACCTAACCTTGGATGAGACAGTGCCACACTTTTGAGTATAAGTATTAGTTCGTTGCCTATTTACAAAAGCGTGTCGGTGCGCCTTCGGGTCATTCAATTCACCAAGCAAAACCTGTCACCGGCGTGCCTGTTTGCCTTTATCGGAAGGTCCCTTTATTGGCTATGTGCGCAGACTGACTGAGTTTACTGTGGAACAATGTTGATGAATGTGATGAGAAATGGACGCAATGAGGAAGCGGCATAACAAGCGTGGAGAGATACCTCCTCATCCTGATCAGCCGCAGACTACAGGCTCTAAGCATACTGGACATTGGGGTCACTGTGTTTTTGAATGTTATCCTATGCCGAACGACTGTTACATGGCCGAGTAGAAGTATGTGGGTCTTATGGTTCTTTTTGTTTGATTGATCATTGTTTTCAAAGCAATCGTTTGGGTCAATCACAGGAAAATAGTCAACTCACCACCATGCCCAGTTGGATAGCCAATTCACCAGCTTGAGCTTCAGGTTCCGGTTCTCTGACTTTGGCTTCGCGGACCAACATGGCAGCGGTCGCATCACCCATCTTGCCCAAACAGATTCGAGCCACATCCAGACGACGTGTAATCACACACATCCGTGCCATGTTCTGTAGAGTAGAAGTCAAATTTGAAGTGTTTAATAAGTCAACAAGCCTAGTTTATAATGTTCAATTTTATTTCAACAGATCCTACCTCACGGTTTTCCACCGTCAGTCCGAAAAGTGCTCAGACGAGTAGTAGCATTGTACTTCCAGTCAGATAATTTGCACAGTCATTGAACAAACGTAATTAGGCTATTTTAGTTTTATAACACTTGGTTATCTAGTCGAATTCATCCGTTTGCATGGAACGGCGAAGCAGATGGGTGAAAATTCTTTTGTCAAGTAGCAATTACAGCGAAAACAGCGCTCGTATTGCGAAAGTTACACATTTCACCGATTTTTGATCTTACGACGCTGGTAACCAGTCAGACAAGAACGAACGCACCATATCACTGTCTTCACAGCTCATGGGAGTGAAAATTATTCTGATCACACCATCGAGTTTCCTCCATTCCACTTGAAAACATGTATAATGAAATATGACACTGAGAACACCAAATAAGTTTCGATTCTCAACTGATTCGCACTCAGAAAATAAGGAGACGGAAACATTTGGATCAGTGCCATCTTGCTGCTTTCCAGAAAAGTGTTTTACTCAGACGTTTCTCAATGTGAAACACAAAAGCTATTCGATATAATTAGTCCTGCCTCCAGCACCACCTGTAAGTCTAAACTTATGTGTGGAGATTACAACCTACCACATGTTAACTGTATGCTGCCTACACTCATGACCGCTGCGCGGATTGAGGAAATAATCGCATGTATGCACCGTAATGGATGGATTCAGCATGTTAGAGAGCCAACCAGAACTGCCACTATCCTAAACCTTGTACTCAAGTTGGGGATCTCGTTCGCCTATGTATTTATTGATAATTCAATACTGGGTTGTGATCAAAACACGGTGCTTTGTGACACGACTACTGATTCAGCTAAACAATAAAGTAAAATATTAACACCCATTCGCAAGCTCTATCGTGGGGACTGGAAGTAGCTTAATGAATTTATCAGCACCATGAACTTGAACGCGTCAATCATAACAAATACTTCTACTGTGGCTACAATTGAGTTTATTAACTATAGGGCCCTTGGTGTGGACGTAATGGCAGCTATCGTATGAAGGAATACCTATAAACATAGTAGTGAACTATAGCTTCTATACAAAGCCACAACCAAACTGAAGAAACTTAACTCGCTATGTCGCAAGAGCAATAGATTCGCAACGTTTTTACAAATACACGAGGCTCTGCTGCAGCTACTTCATCTAACCCAAAGGGCCAAACTCAGAGAAGAAAATCGGCTACTTATAAATCCTGAGAAAGTACGTACATTGATGCAGCTAATTAAAAGAAGGAACCCTATACCCCATCAGGAAATTGGAGCGTTGACCCTGGATGATAGTTCAATAACGCGTGACATCTACATTTGCGAGGCTATCTAGTTTTTCTTCATGCTTCGTCCCTATCACTCAGCTATTTCATCCTCCATTTCCAAAAAGTATGAACGAGCTACTCCTTAATATTTCTGTGACGTTGAGAGATGTGCAAATTGTCATCGCACGCATAAAATCAGATGTCTTCACACATTGTCTCACTACAGACTGCTTCTCGTCTCCATAGAATCAATCCATCATAATGCCTAAGCACAATAGTGGCCAGTGAAATGAAATGTCAATCTACCGCCCCATAAATCACACCACTGATGCTTCTAAATCCCTAGAAAGAAGAGCCAAGAGAAACATTGTCCAATTTCTCACAAGACTAGATCTGATCAATCCCTCGCAGCATGCCATTTTTGCAAAACGCTGCTGCGTTACCTGCCAGCTACAATTCTTCGATTATGTAGCGACTAGGATTGACAGAAAGGCAATCATAATTCTGTTGTACTTGCAAAAGGCGTCTGACCGCGTGTTGCACAAGTCACCGTTGTCCGTTTTAGAGTCATATGGCATTGGAAACCCTCTGCTTAGCTGGTTCGACTCATACCTAAACGACTGAACAGTGATAGTTAAAATAGGTCAGCAATATTCTACACCAAAATTATCAACCAGCGGCGTCTTCCAGGGAAATCTGCTCGGACCGCTACTTTCATAATCTAAGTAAGCAACATATGCGACCCGATCAAACACGGATGCCCATTTCTGTTTGCAGATGACGTCAAACTGGTCTACTCATTTCATCCAGACCAACTACAAATATTCCTGGGAATGATCTGTGAAGACCTATCCACACAAAATATAGCTAGTGAATGTTTGCTAATGAAGTTTTCCGCAGTGCAATCCCAAGTACTTGGGTGCAGATACCGAATTCCGGAAGGCTCTAGCACACTTGTCAGTAAGGTGATTCCAACAACTGATTCAGTTCAGAACTCAGAAATTAGATACGCCAAATCTTTCAATTTCTCAGAACCCGTGCTTTATCAGACTACAAAAGCGAGGCAGTTATGTGGATGCTTCAGCAGAAATTTCTCCCTGCTTGCAACACGACGATTCATTCAAGATAATAGTGCGAGAGACTCTGGAGTACTACAGTATCGTTCAGAGCCAATTGAAAAAGAAAGACAGAACAGCTTTGTAAAATGTGCAACGAGCATTTACCAAGCTGGCATTGGGGCGCTGCTCAAACCTGAGTCATTATGATCGCTGTCGACAACTCCAAATCGACCCTCCTTGGCCGAAATGTCTAAAGTATAATCTCTTCTAAAACACTGTTAGCCAACGAAATTATGCAGACGGCACCGCACTTAAGCTACTGAAGACTGCAGTCAAACCCACACGTACTTGCGGCTACTTGCTACGCACAAAGCTTGCAAGTCATAAAACTCGATCAAATTTCTTCTTAGCCTGATATATCCAGCCGTGGAACGTGGTTGGTTGGCGGCTTCCGGTTTCGGATTTGTCTGTCACTGTGGCAAGCCACAGGACGCCTGCGCCTACAGAGGAACCATGGATGGCTTACGCTGCACCACCCGCAGCTCCAACCACACACCGCATATCCAGTGTAAACTCGAAGGAATAAGACCGGGAGGCATGTGGATGGGAACCACGTTTCATCAACGGAGCCGGCCCACACTCCTTCACAGGCGAACACAAGCACGCTGTATTTAGGGAATCAAGCGCACACAAGGCGGTGGCTGGACCGTAGTCCGCTCCACACTGACTGCATGGAACCACTCTTCGAGCCTAGCACGACCACAAAGACCGTGAACCCCGTCCCCTCCAGCAACGACCAACTGTCTCCTGGAGCCAGTATAGACGAGGTAGTATGTAATAGACAGGTATGCACCTTGTCAACATGCACATCAAGCGCACCCACACCTGGGATGTCAAACAACGGCCAAGCACTCAAAATGCCGTTATCGAATAAAGTAAACGCATATGACGACATAAATACTCGCTAAATGAGCATATAGAAGAAATTGGTTATAAGTGAATCCGTGATAAGTAGAAAATGTCCGAAAGTTATTTAAAAAATATCACGCGATACAACTACGCAACTTTACCACAATTCGCATGAGCGACGTGTGCAAGTTGGGAGAAGATTATCAAGTACGCAGAACAAGCCAAATAAAATATAACGAATTTTATCCATATGAAAACGACCTAGTTTAAGTGTAAGTTGGCTAAGCCCAACTGCGGTGAAGAAGCATTATGAATACTACATCAGCCTCAGCATGGGGCACAGATCTGTGGAACATGGTTGGCGGCATCTGGTTTCGGATTTGCCTGTCACTGTGGCCAGCCACAGGACGCCTGCGTCTACAAAGGGATCATAGGTGGCTTGCGCTGCACCACCCACAGCTCCAACCACATACCCCATATCCAGTGTAAACCCGAAGGAATAAGACCGGGAGGCATGCGGATGGGAGCCATGTTTCATCAACAGAGCCGGCCCACACTCCTTCACAGGCAAACACAAGCACGCTGTATTTGGGGAATCAACCGCACACAAGGCGGTGGCTGGACCGTAGTCCGCTCCACACTGACTGCATGGAACCGCTCTTTGAGCCTAGCACGGCCACAAGGACCGTGCACCCCGTCCCCTCCAGCAACGACCAACTGTCTCCTGAAGCTAGTATGAACGAGGTAGTGGGTAGTAGACAGGTATGCACCTTGCCAACATGCGCATCAAGCACAGCCACACCGAGGATATCAAGCAACAGCCATTCCCTTTAAACGACAAGCTGAAATAAAATAAATCCAATAATGCATACAGATACGGTGGCATAACTCTTCCCTAAATTACCATATGAAGTAAGTTGGTTAGCAACAAATCCGTGATAAGTAAGAAATGTTTACAGGTTACTTAAAAATGCTACAAACGCAACAAAATCACCGAAGATAAGCGCAATTAGTGTAAGCAACGTGGCCAGTTAATAGAACATTATTCCGGTAGGCAGAACAAACCAAATAAAGCGGAATGAAATTTATCCAGCTTAAAAAGACCTAGTTTAAGTGTAAGTTGGTTTAGCCCAACTGCGGTGAAGAAGCATCAATAATGCAACATCAGCCTCAGCATGGGGCACACATACATACATGGTTGGCGGCATCCGGTTTCGGATTTGCCTGTCACTGTGGCAAGCCACAGGACGCCTGCGCCTACAGAGGGACCATGGATGGCTTGCGCTGCACCACCCGGCTAACATAGTGATGTTAATCGCTGCCGAATAATACTGTGAGGAGGAAGATGCCGTAGCTCACTGTCTTTGCATTTAACCATACTAGACTACGCTTGAGGAGGTAGCAAGTATAGGATGGCGTGATGAGTACAATATCTTAATGGGCAACACGTGAAGTCATCGCGAAATATAACCGTGTTAAATAAGCCTAAAAATATTAAGTTACCTGTGGCTCATCCTTTCTAGGCAGATGCCATAAAGATACCACATTGCACCAAGTCAGCAGTTACTCATTATGCGGCATATAGAATAAGGATGAAATCAAAAATGAATGACGGAGATGGCGTAAGCAAGTTTCCAAGTTAGCAGGGAAATGGTGCGATTATGTC